ATGTATGTGCCTTTTTAGTCCTTTTCTGAATGTCTCTTATACATTAGTTGTTCATTAGAATTGTATTAGCCGTTGAAGAACAAGACAATAAGACCTTGCAGTCAACTATAATATTCACAGCCTTTTAATAGAATATAGACAGTTCCCAAACACGGGAACATGCTATGGCAGCTACTTTGAACATTGTGCCTGTCATGCCCTTTATAAACTCAATTGAAAAATATTCTCCCTTTCATTTCTCACCTATATGTCTTCTCACCCTATTTTACTTATTTGTCTTACCGCTTCTTTTCTGCTTTAACATCTGCTGCTGCTTAATACTCTTTTTTTCCAGATTAGATTTTGGTTTTGAATGTATATCACACATAGAGTAGTGTAATATTTTGGAATTTTATCTAACTTTCACTCCTTTACCTAGATTCTCAAGCTTCTAAAAAAAATAGTGTGTTTTCAAAATAAAGCTGCAGCTGTAGGTTAGAAAAAAAGATCTTTGCCATTTATTAGTTGGACTTTTGAGCTGATCATTGTACGTGCAAATTTTGGACAATGCTGAAAAAAAACATGGCATAAATAGTAAGTTACAGCTGCAAACAGAGAAACCAACACCATCAGCTCTGTTAAACACAAAAACAAACATTTCTTGGGTCCATTATATTATTGTTATTAATATTGTTGGCATTTATATAGTGACCAACTTATTCCACAATGCCTATAAAGAGGGAAATTTAACAATAAATGAGATTTAGAAAATGTTACAGGAACAATAGGTTGATGAAGAACCTACTTGATAGAGCTTACAAACCATGAGATCAAGGCATGTAATAAGACAAAAGATGATTAACTCTCATTTTTTTTAAATACATGAATTAAAACGTATGAGATGTTTATACAGACCTTAATATTGTTTACATATTGCCCCTACCACCTCCATCCTTCTCTGCTACTATATAATTCTGCATGCACCATATTATGCATCATATTTTTATATCCACAATGTCAATTTACCTTCTAACTCTGTTATAGTTACATTGTACAGCACTGCAGAACTCTTTCCACTTTAAAAATATAATATTTCAGTTATAAACATTAGTATTGTGTTGTATTGAGCTTTGATTTTATTTAACATGTAGCATCACATGATGATTGAAACTTGTATTAAAAATATATATTCATTTTGTTTAAATAAAAATAAAAAACCTTCGGATTTCTGTATCAAAAGGGTGTTTTATTTTTAAGTTTGCTAAATATTCAAATGCCGTATTGATATAATTATCAAAGCTCTACAATTTTTCTGACTGCTTCTTAAAAGCCCACAATACCATAGAGTTCAAACCTTACCATCTACGGTTTGGGTAATACGAAGCTTTAGACACCAATATATTAGAAAAATTAACAAAATTAGCCTTTCATAACAGGCCACCTTTGATTCGTAGTGTTGGTGGCCTCATCTCACTGGCTGAACTCCCACTGACTCTAAGCAGTGAAGAAACAGACAGATTTACTGTTCTCGCTTAGCTGGGCCTTCCTGTGACCTAAGCAAAACCCTTTGCCTTTTTCCCACATCGCTGTGTTAAAGCCCAGCTACAGTATTCCGTTTATTTTTTCAGGTGAGTAAATGCTGTATCGAATACTGGTTTCTCAGTTGCTTTTAATTAGACTTCTGGAATCTGGTCTTTCATCTGGGCGGAATCTGCGTCACTTCACTCTAGCTATTTTCAGTCCTGAAGCTGTGGGTTTTTCTTTTATGCATCTAATTGAAGGCACGCAGGAACGAAGTAAGAGCTAATCCCAATAACCTGAGATGTTTTTAAGGTTATGATAAAACCACACATTTTTACAGCCACTTTCTTGATTATTTTTTTATTTACAACCGCTTCCCTTTGGGTCTATGAATAGTGTAAACTAAAAAAGCAGCAGGCAAGGTCATTTTTGCTTGTTTTTCTAAGCTTTCTGAAAGAAAATAGACAAGGAATGTAGTAAACAAAATTATTTTATCACGTTTTATTGCCATCATATGAAGACATGCTCCTCCCCCCAAAAAACAGTACATTTTTAAAACACGTGTTTTTAAAGTCATGAAAAGTCTTTTTTAATATACAATATATAGATAAATATTATATTAACATGTACCAGCATGTAATCTGCCCTTCTAGTTTAGGGACTAAGGCAATAAGTCAGCAGAGTATTGGACAACGCTTGGGAGATCTCTGCTGAAGAATTGTTGATGGGCTTTGCGAGGAATTAAATCGGACTATATTGCATTGCCTTCAGGACAATTGGCCTCTTACTGCCTGAGTAAGGCCAACTCCTCTACCTCATTGGGTAACTGGTGGTTAGATGCCATTATGAGATTCAGAACAGAGACTGCTATTGTAGAGGTAAAAAGAAGATGGACTTTATTGTCACTGTCCTTCATATGGGGTTGTATACATAGTTCATGACTAGAGCTAATAGGTGGTTGCTATGAGCTCACAGACAAGTATACATTGGATTGTATCAATAACTGGATGGGCTTGAAGCTGCAGTGATTTATGCAAATTACATAGATTACATAGGTTGGCAGGAGTTCTGATTTAAAGATTTAACAGCTTGTGCAATCCTAGGAAAACAATATCATATATCAACGTGTAACATAACAATGTGTGTTGTAATAGAAGGCACACCACATGTGTGATGACACAGACCATTTGTTTCTCTCGAGGGACTGGTCTACTCCAGTTTGCATGTCATATTGTAATTCCTCTAAGAAAACAAGGGGCTGGCTGCACTCACCTAAACATGCTTAAATAGGGTGCTGCTGGGGGCCAATAAGTACAGTAAAAATTAAAATCCAGCGCACTCCCTTATCTGCTAAACTGTTATTTTGCTAGTTTTATTAAAAACACCTAATCTAGGCAAAAATAATGGGGGTTTAGTTACATTATATGATCATACATTGCATAAGCCTGCCACAACATCAAAGTACCGCATCTTTATAATAAAACTAGCAAAATAGCTGTTTAGCAGATAAGGGAGTGCTCTGGATTTTCATTTCTATTGTAATACCTCTACAAATGATAGAGCAGCAGCTCCCAATCTCACAATAAGCCGGTGGTCAATAGAGACCAGTCAGATAGAGTAAACCTGCAGGTTGTTATTGTACTAAGTCTAGTAAAATTCAGGCAATGATTTTGAATCTGCCAGGGTTCTTTGCTTGCTGTAATTGTGTTAAAGGAGTGGCACTAAGCATATAAAACAGATGCACATTCTCAGCCTGGAAACTTCAGATCTGTGAGCTTAATACATGTAGTTGGAAGCTTATTTATTTATATATTTATTCAGAAAACAAGGGGAAGGAAGATAGTAGAATAATCTTACTCCTGAGCGGGGGTTAGCCCCTAGTGTAACGAAATGCACTATAAAACTAAACAATAAGGAAGGGAGACAGGAGAAGAGACAGGATAAATGATAGAGTGTCCTGCAGAGTGGTAGTTGCCTCGTTATAGAGGGGTGACCTTAGGATAGGTTGGGCTCGGGGAGATCACAAAAGAGGAAAGATAATTAAAACTTCACTTTTAATGTAAATAGTTAAAAGGGGGGTATACAAACAAATTTTAGTTCAAATAACTGTTGTAAGAACTCCTCAAGTGATACTGTTACACTTCATTCAAATGACTGTTGTAAGAAATCCTCAAGTGATGCAGTTACACTGCCGGTTAACAGAGTGAAGTGCCACTGTGGGAACAGCAGCTACAAATTAGTAGTGTCAATAATGTATCGATATACCAGTACCCGGGCTCAAGGAAAAATAGCCAAGTCCCAGTGAGCTGCACTGAAGCTGTTAACAAAGCTGATAATATTTAAAGAAATTGCAGTGTCTGGACTCCAAAACAAGCTTGAGAGTGCCAGTATACTGCAGAATCTACCAGAAAACATTTTGCAGTTTGTACCTCCTAGTTACCATACTGCAGATACTCCCGCCAGCACATATCTCTAGATGCTATTTCTCACAGTCTTTAACACAGGACCCTGTCATCATTTCTGAGATGCTATCTTCTGGGGGATAGATTCTCTTTCCCAAGATTGTACTATTCTTTGTCCGTTATCCTGTATGTAATCCTGTTGTTTAATCAGTGGAAGACTGTGAGTGCAATACCTTTTGGTTATATATATATATAACAGATTTTAAGGTATGGCAACAGAGAATACAAGAGCTTTAAGGGCATCTTAGAGAAACCCGGTAGCTTGCCCTTCAGTTAGCCCCCATTCAGATCTCAAAATAGTTTTCGCTATTACAGAGAGAACCAGTACCGAGGCATATAGGACTGATCCTACCCATAGGGGCAGTCCAGAATGGAAATGCCAGCAAGTCCTCTCTGCACAAGACATAAAGCAACTCCGGACGATTGTTAAGGTTTTTAAGGTATTAATAAAGGTTCCATTTTATTGTAACATACTAAAATGTTACTTTTTGATGGTATTCTTTGCAGGTGTGAGCAAACGAGGAGTTTGTAAGATAGCACATGATTTCACTTGCAATTTATAAATTAAAATGTGGAGATTTTGGGGGCGGGGCCGGGCGGCCATGCCAGCAGGCTGCAAGTCAACATGGCTCCGGGGAAACTCGACGAATAATGGGTAAAAAACCCATCAAAATCAGCATGGAACCCCCTGGAAGTGCGTGATACCTGACCCTGGAGTGTCCCGGTGTAGCTGGAGCACCTGATATCGGGTGGACCGGGTCCCGGTGAGACGCTCCGGGGCTGGGGAGACTGAGGCCTACCCGGGAAGGGAGCGGGGTGGACGGCCGCCGCCTCACCTTCCATCCCCGGCAAATACAGAGACCCATGACAAATCTGGGGCCCCCGGCCTCGCTTACCCCCCCTTTGGGCCGGCGGGGGTTATCCCGGCCCCCACCGGGCAGACACCACCGCGGCAGTGCTTCTGGGCAACTAGCCGCCGACAGCCACCACGCTGCCCCCACAAAATGGCCGACAGCAAGGCACCTATTCGGCAAACCGCTGAGGGAAGCTCCCACACCACTCAGCCAGGGCAATGATCACCCATGGCATTTACCAGCAGTCATGACGGGGCGACAGCGGAGACCTGCCATTCTCCTGAACAGTCACCCCACAAGCATACTTACACGCCAGCAGAGGACCCTACGCTTACCTGCACTGAGCGTGCTCCACTGGAGATCTCGAGACCCCAAGCGACCAGCTCATCACAGCGTTAGATACACCTGGGTACTGCGCCCATAAAACAACCTACCCGCACTCACACACCAGCTGGGTACACAGCCGAGGAGGTCCGCAGACACTTAAACCCACAGAGGGACCCACAGCTCCAGAGGACGCAGAGATGCTCTATGAGGAATATCTGGGTGCCAGAGAAAAGGACACTGCTCAACACCATCCACAACTCTAAAGCGACAGGTACCCCAGCGCCATGTGACAGACGGCAATTAAGGCAAAAGCTGCTAGACCTGCTGCTAACAGCCCCACTCACAGAAACCCTGGTTGTGAACACATCCAAATGGACACATCTACTACTGCCACTTAGTGCAGTTAATCACTTAATATGCCATAACCTGCCTGGTGGCAACTGTTTACCTTACCTATGTAACCCTTCTTAGATAAGCTGTTAATACAGGTGAACATCAGCCTACTCACCTGCCTAATCGACCTTAGGTCTTAAGCTGAGCCCTGATAAGCACCTAGCCTAAATTAAGGGGGCAGCCCAAGCCAGGTCAGAACCTACATTAGACCTAATCACTCTTATGAAGCGACATAAACGGACAAGCATTTATAGATAACTTTATCACATGCATGTCTAGCGCAGAATGTTTAATACGTCTCCTAATGTTACAAAGCTTGTAATTTTACAGTTAACCAATAAGCCTGTTTAACCTTTAACGAACACTCGACTTGTATTAGCCTATTAGAATCATTCAAAATAGACAAAGCGGATTATCAATCTTACGTTTAACTATTAATATGCCTAAATACTTTAACATGGTATTTCATATATACAATGTTTCCTAGCCTGTTATATTCATTTCTTAACAAAAATGTGCAAATGTAAAAAACCACGAACATGTCTGTATGAACCTGCCTGTGTCTGCTGTCGTGGCTACACGGGCCTGCATGTAAAATCTTTTGCACCAAAAATAAAGAATTTAAAAAAAAAAAGTGGAGATTTTATCCTGTGCAATTTTATGATGTAAAATTCTGTAAAAAGTCTGTAAAAATATAGTTCTCAAATTACTAAAGAATTTGTATCCCACAACTTAATAGAAATTAAAAGCCTAACTATTGTGGGCACATCTATCTACACAAAATGAAACCTACATTGAGAGCAGGACTCCTTATGGAGGTACTGAAAGCATTGTCATCAAAACCAAAATACATAAGAAATAACATGTACTTAAGATTTTTTCATAGTCATGTATTATGTAAGTCATAGCACAGTACTGAGTGCACAAGCCTTGGACAAAAGCCAACATGTCACCAAAAAGATATTAAAATAAACAGAATCATATTTAGCTTTTCTTTTGCACTTTACCAATATTACACAAATGTTCCATATTACTGACATTACAGTTAGGCAAACATATAAAAGGGGGAACCAGTCTGGCTGTCATAACTGCAGATGGCAGGATTTATTAAGCTCTGCGAGGGTAAGGTCTCTGCAGACTTTGTCCAACGTAGACCTGACTCCAATTCCAATATAATAGCTAAGTGTTAAGAGTTCTGCCCGAAACAGAGTTTGATGAAGATTTGAAACCACCCATGGTACAAAGATATTGATATTAAGCTATAAAATTAGCAACTACTCTGGCTCACATACATGAAATACAAATGTATTTATTTCAGGAAAATGTCTGATACTAAAAATGACACACAATGTAAACCAACAGGGTCCTTACTTTAACTCAAAATTTTGGAAGATTTCCATTTAAAGGGACACTCTAAGCACCAAAACAATGTTAGCTTTATAAAGGGGTTTTGCATGCCCCTGCAGTCTCACTGCTCAATACTGCCCTTTAGGAGTTAACTCACTTTGTTTATGCAGTCCTAGATACCCCTCCTTGGCTGTGACTGCCACAGCCTCCCTACACTAAAAAGGAGCTCAATTTTGTTTTAGTTGAACTTGCTGAAAAGGAGCTCAATTTTGTAGTAGCTTTCCTGTTTGTACAGTGTGTTATATCAATAATTAAATATAGACTATCTTATATTCTGCTATGTTAATTTTCTGCTAGAGCCTGAACCAGCCTCCTGTTAATAAACATAGCAGGAGATCAAAACTTCTCAACCAAACACACTGTGCTGTAAATATGAAATATTGTTTTCTATCAGGCTGTATGAGTCACAGTCAGAGGAGGTTTGGCGAGGGCTGCATAAGCAAATGATATGACTCCTAAATATTTTAGAATGGAGCAGTGAAACTTCAGGGGCATGATCTATAAAACAAAACTGCTTCTTTAAGATAAAGTTGTTTTTGTACTTGGAGTAACCATTTAAAGTTCTCCAACTCAATCATAGTTACAACTAGACTGCTATTCCCTCAGCTAGTTCCTCCTACCTCACCCAGCACTCTTTTAGTGTTCCTTTCTCTGGCTCTGCCTCTTCTCCCCGACCCCTCTCTGTACTTGGCCCCTACTTTTCTCTATCTATACATCCTCCCTTGGTAAACTCATCAGCTACTTTTGCTTCCATTATCATTTATATGTGGATGACACACAAATCTACCTGTCCTCTGCTGATCTCCCTCCGCCCATTTTAACTCTTGTCTCTGACTGCCTCTCTGCGATTTCCAACTGGATGGCTGCTCACTTTTCAATTTTCAATTTTCTTACAGCTTGGGACCAGGGCTGTTTTTAAATTTCTGCGGTGTTTGTGTTTAGCAGTAATTTTCCTCTTACTCATATACTGTACCCACACATATTATATACCGTTGGTCTTTCTAAAGATACCATTATTTTCATCATATCATATAATTTACTATAAAACAAATGATAAAATATGATGAACAAATGGAAAAAAAAACCTTTCCTAACTTTGACCCTCAAACTCTGTTATGCATCTACAACCGCCCTAAAAAAAAAAGGTGCTAAATAGTTTCTAAACTTTGTCCTGAGTTTAGAAGTACCCAATGTTAACATGTTTTTAGCTTTTTTTGGAAAGTTATAGGACAATAAGTACAAGTATCACTTTGCTATTATCTGTCAGGAATCCCTGAATAACCCTTCACATGTATATATTTTTTAAAAGAAGACAGCCTAAGGTATTAAACCTTGGGTATTTTGACTCTTTTCATTTAACCATTTTACCACCAATCTATGCCAAATTTAAAACAAATAATAATAATTGGTGATTTTTTTGATACACATAGCAATTTAAGAACACATGTAAGGAGAACTTTAAGGGTTACTGTCAAAGAACACCCCAATATGTGTTCAGCAACATCTCCTGAGTACAGTGATACCCCCCATATATAGCTGTGTTGAGTTCACTGGGGGCTAAAATACCTTATTTGGAGGGTGCGCATTCCAGTTTTCCAACTTGCAATTTTCACAGCTGAAAAGTAGACACCCTAGGGTATTTTAAATAGTGGTATTTAAACACTTTCCATGCACTAATTCTACCACAGTGTTTGGCAACCTTTTGGGTAGTCATTTTTTGTGTTATTTTTCTCTCACATTGTACTTTAGGCATGGATGCTCAGTTCCTGTTATGTGTTGCTGACAAAGAACGACCCAATATGTGCTCAGCAACATCTCCGGAGTACAATAGGGCCCCGAATGTACAGGTTTTATGGGTTTTTGCAAACTTACAGGGGTTTTCCACGCCTGCACACTGAGATTTGCCAGATTGGCTTGCTTGCTGCCTTTGAGACCGTATAGCAGCCCAGGAATGAAAATTAACCCCATCATGGCATACCATTTGTAAAAGTAGACAACCCAGGGTATTCAAAATGGGTTGTGTCCAGTCTTTTTAGTAGCCGTTTAGGCACAAACGCTGACCAAAGTTAGCGTTTTTATTTGTTTTTTGCATTTTTTTTACACAAAAACTGCACTTTTACTGGTGATTTCATAGTTGTGATATGTTTTACTGTTTTAAACACTCATATTTGTGTTCAGCAAATTCTCCCGAGTATAACAATACCCCCCATGTACAGGTTTTATGGTGTTTTTGAAAGTTACAGGGTTAGTATAGCATTTGCCCAATTCAGTTTGCCAGATTGGTTTTCTGGGTCTGCATTTTGAGACCATATGGTAGCCCAGCAATGCGAAATAACTCCATCGTGGCAAACCCAGGGTATTTAAAATGGGGTATATCCAGTCTTTTGTAGTAGCCAAAGTTAGCATTTTTATTAGTTTTTTATAAATGTTTCCCCCCCCCCCAATATATATATATATATATTAATTTCAAAATACAGTTAGAATAACATTATATATATATATATATATATATATATATACACACTACAGTACCTTGCACTCAGGCTGCAAAACTACGTGGCCGGGGCTCCAACATCCAATATGCAAATAGATGGCTGCACTCGCGGTCTTTCAATAAAAATTAGCTTTTATTCCAAAATAGTTAAAAACTGGATCAACGTTTCAGTCCCCCATAGGGACTTTCTTCAGGTTAATAAAGAAAGTTCCTATGGGGGACTGAAACGTTGATCCAGTTTTTAACTATTTTGGAATAAAAGCTAATTGTTATTGCAAGACCACAAGTGCAGCCATCTATTTGTTATTATTTGTATATTATATATATGTGTGTAATTTTACTCTAAGTTTATTTTTATATTAATATATGTATATATTTATAAAAAAATACACTTAGTATGATGTTATATATAAGATACATATAAATATATATATATACATATTATATATAGATATAATATATCTATATGTGTATATATATATATATATGTATATATCCTATATATACATATATATATATGTCATATATACATATATATATATTTGTAAATTTATTAATTTAATTTAAATTTTTTTTTTACTTTTATTAACTTTATTTTTACTTTTTCACCAGCAGGGAGACTGCCTGTCAGTTCAGGCAGTCTCCCTGCTGGCAGCACTGTGGACACATGGCACCTGGGGGTCCTACAGTGCAGAGGGGGGACTGTCTCAGCCCAGACAGTCCCCCTCAGAAGAAGACTGATCCCCCGCTGGTGATCGGTAAGTACATGGGGAGGGGCAGGGAGGGTTATTTTT